CGCTATAAACAATAATTACTGAGAAAGTTGTATTTGTGTGTGCATGTGTGTGTGTTTGTGTGTGTGTGTGTTGTGTGTTTGTCCATGTGTGTGTGTGTTGTGTGTGTGTGTGTGTGTGTGTGTGTGTTGTGTGTGTTGCATGTGTGTGTGTGTGTGTGTGTGTGTGTGTGTGTGTGTGTGTGTGCATGTGTGTGGTGTTGTGTGTGTGTGTTGTGTGTGTGATGTGTGTGGTGATGTGTGTTTGCTGTGTGTGTGTGGTGTGGTGTGTGTGATGTGCTGTGTGTGTGCATGTGTGTGTGTGTGTGTGTGTTTGCGTTAATTTAGGAAACAAACAAGGACAGAAAGGATTACTATCAACAAAATTACTGATAATTGTTTACTTCCTTATGCTATTGACTTATTATCTCCTCATTTACACTATAAACTTTATTTTCTCCAGATTTCTGAATGCTCATATATTGTTTGAAATTAAACACAAACAACACAATCTCTCTCTCTCTTTTCTCACATACTATTACTTACAAAGACACACCATAAACATTACAAATACAATGCAGTACATACATAACGTTAAACCCAGACAGAATTTGCATAAACCCAAGCAACTTTTGTGACGTTAATGTATGACGTAACGATGAGCTATAACGTGACGTAAAATATGACGTAATAGATTGCAAGGGTAAAACAACGTCTGTCTATTTACTTTATTCTGTCTGATCTATTGGTCTATCTATCTGTCTTAGCTAATTCATTTATTTGCCTATTATCTCTGCTTTACTTATCTATCGGATCCATTATCATATCTATCTATCTGTCTACCGTACGTATTTTTTTGTTTATCTTATAAATCATCGTCTCATAATCACAAGATATGAACTTATTCACAAGATGGGGCGAGTCAGATAGAATTGAATGAATTTGAGTTGTCACAAGTAATTATAAGATAGCATAAAACACATATGTGTTGTTGTGGTGCATTTAATCTATAATAATGTGTGTGTGTGTGTGTGTGTGTTGTGTGTGTTGTGTGTGTGTGGTTGGTGTGTGTGTTGTGTGTTGTTTGGTGTGTTGCCATTTACCTATATAAGTAATGTGTGTTGTGTGTGTGTGTATCTATATATATATGTGTGTGTGTGTGTGTGTGGTGTGTGTTGTGTGTAGTGTGTGCTACAACTGTGTGTGTGCATGTGTGTGTGTGTGTGGTGGTTGTGTGTGTTTGTGTGTTGTGGTGTGATTGTTCGTGTGTTCATGTGTGTGTGTTTATTAAAATATATGTATAGAGAGAGGGAAGAGATTTAAGAAAGAAGAGGAGAGAGAGAGAACGAGGAAGACGAATGAGAGAGAGAAGAGAGAGAGACGAGAGAGATCAGAGGGAGAGATGAGAGAGAGAGTGACGGAAAGAGAACAAGACAAATCTGAGACAGAAACAGACAGAAAAATTACAAAGAGCAGACAGGACAAAAACAGAGACAGATACCAGAGACTGAGAAAGGAAAAAGTACAGTGGGAATAAATAAGACAAACTGCTGACAAATCACTAAAACAAATTTAAATAGATATATACACGACAAACACGGAAGATACCGAAAACCCCAAAAGTTAAAAATCTTAATTTTTCATATTTTTTTTTCTTCTTATTCAGATTATTGTCTCCAGTTTCATATTTGCTGATTCGCCTCGATTGACAAATGACAGAGTCCTCGGCTGCCCGGGATAATTGTCATGAGTTTGGAAATTCGTGATAATAGGATTCGGAACATGAAATATTTCATTCCCATCACAGGACGACTCGATGTAGTTATAGTCGATACTCTTAAAAAGCCGATGGCGCCGGGAGTTGCTGAACGTTCAGGTCGAAATACATATCCATCAATGTATTGGCATCCGTATCAAATCCTTTATTCATCAAACCAAAAAATTCCCGTATTTTAGCTATCGCTGCGCTACGTGCCGGTTCTCGAACTTACATTACCTTCTCAATCTATTCTTTTCTTCACTGACTTTTGATTTCATATTTCTCATTAATCCAGTTTGTTTTATTTGTCTATCAATCCAAATCTCGTATTGATTTGAGCTATAGTTACGAGGCACGGACGGAGGCCTCCGATGAAACATTATTTATTTAGTTATTGTTCATTAATGTCCTCTGCGGGGTGTCTATGAATTAAAATTGCGCTTGTCTAATTATTTCAAAATATGTAATTTTCGTTCTAGTTTTGGGCCAGCGCACTATGTCCCGCAGGTAGTGTTTTCTATATCTATTCTAGATTCTTCTCCTCTCTCTGTCCCTTCCACTTCTTCCTCTCGTGTCTCTCTCTCTCTTTGTCTGTATATTCTCATTTCTCTTATTTTTGGAATATTTTGTACCCTTATTTCCTTCTCTGTTTGTGTTCCTGCGACCAGACTCTCTGTGTCCCTGCTTCCATTTCCGCTACTTCCTTCCATATACTAATCCAACTCAAATGAACACCGATTATTTCGGTTCCTTCATTTTTCTACTTCTTTTGTTGGCTATTTGTTCATTATAATGCACAAAAAAACATCGGCATTAGCTTTAGTATCCATATATTTTTCTGCTTATTTTTGTTTGCTCATTTTCTTCTTTGTTTTTTTTATTACATTATCTATTTACTTTCTATCAGAAGAGAACGAAATGATTGATAAATGGCTGTCCTGAACCTAATAACATCTCTCTCTTCTCTCTTTCTCTCTTCTCTCTCTCGCTCTCTCTCTCTCTCTCTCCTCTTCCCTCTCTCTCTTCTTCTCTCTTTCTCTCTCTTTCTTCTCTCTTTCTTTCTCTCTTTCTCTCTCTCTCTCTCTCTCTCTCTTTCTTTCTCTCTTTCTCCTTTCTCCTCCTCTCTCTCTCTCTCTCTCTCCTCTCTCTTCTCTTTCTCTCTCTCTTCTCTCTCTTCTCCTCTCTCTCTCATCGCTCTCTCTCTCTCTCTTCTGCTCTCTTCTTTCTCTCTTTCTCTCTTTCTCTCTTTCTCTCCTCCTTTTCTTCTCTCTCTCTCTTCTTCTCTCTCTCTCTCTCTCTCTCAAACTCTCTCTCTCACTCCCTCTTTCACTCTCTCTCTTCTCTCTCTCGTCTCTCTCTCTCTCTCTCTCTCTCTCTCTCTCTCTCTTCCTCTCTCTTCTCTCTCTCTCTCTCTCTCTCTCTCTCTTTCTCTTTCTTCTCTCTTTCTCTCTTCTCTCTCTCTCTCTCCTCTTTCTCTCTCTCTTCTCTCTCTCTCTCTCTCTCTCTCTCTCTTCTCTCTTCTCTCTTTTTTCTCTTTCTTCTCTCTCTCTTCTTCTCTCTCTCTCTCTCTCTCTCTCTCTCTTCTCTCTCTTCTCTCTTTCTCTCTCTCCTCTCTCTCTCTCTCTCTCTCTCTCTCTCCTCTCTCTCTCTCTCTCTCTCTCTCTCTCTCTCTCTTCTCTTCTCTCTCTCTTTCTCTCTCTCTTTCTTCTCTCTCTTCTTTCTCTCTCTCTCTTCTCCTCTCTCTCTCTCTCTCTCTCTCTCTCTCTCTCTCTCTCTCTCTCTCTCTCTCTCTCTCTCTTCTCTCTCTCTCACTCTCTCTCTCTCTCTCTCTCTCTCTCTCTCTCTCTCTCTCTCTCTCTCTCTCTCTCTCTCTCTCTCTCTCTCTCTCTCTCTCCTCTCTCTCCTCTCCTCTCTCTCTCTCTCTCTCTCTCTCTCTCTCTCTCTCTCCTCTCTTCTCTCTCTCTCTCTCTCTCTCTCTCTCTCTCTCTCTCTCTCTCTCTCTCTCTCTCTCTCTCTATTCTCTCTCTCCTCTCTCTCTCTCTTCCCTTCTTCGTTCCTTCTTCGGTTCCCACTGTTGATCCTCGGCCTCACGTATGGGGGGAAGTTAATGGAATAAGAGAATTAAGAGAATAGAAAATGATCGTTAATTGATCTAATTGTTTCGTTCAGTTGTATTCCTGTAATCTTTCGTTCGTTCTCTTTGTCTCTCTTACGCTCCCTTTTTCTATATATTTAGTTAGAAATCGTCAATACTTGTATGGACCTCGAATAAAAGTACTATATATGTAGAATGGAACAATAAACGAGGTTTTAAGCTTTATTTGCGAAAGATTACACAGAGTAAGTAACATGAACAATCTGTATTTCTATAGCTATGTGTGTGAACAGAATTTGTTACTGTGGCATTTGAAAGAAAACATGCATCAGCTGACATGATTACATACACGTGGCAGTCATAAATAGTTATGTACAATTTCAGCTTTTTTTCAGGTTTACTATACATCTTTTTTTTTTTTTTTTTTTTTTGATGATAAGGAGCAGTGGAGAAGAATGTTGTCCATCTGTACGTTTGTGTGGGCGTGTGTGTGCATGTATATATGCATATATACATACATACATACATACATACATACATACACACGCACATATTCCCACTCATAGCCCATCCGTCAAAGGCTATTAGTATATTCGCTTCACATCCTGTCCACTTTCCTTGCGAATTCAGCAGCCAGCAAAAGCGCTTCCTTCCTCTCGCTTTCCATTCACTATTTAATCTCCTTCCCGCACGCTCAGCTGGTGGCCTCGGATGTGTATCGGAACATCGTTAAATTCCTAAACTATTTCTAACGTTTTTACAACACATTTACTCGGATATTAACACGTCGACACTCATATAAACAGACGCACTGAAACAGGAACACACTCTCTTAGAGATAAATATATACAGTGATAAGACACACACACAAGAACGTATGTACAGGTCACCATCGCGTGATAGTTTAAGCGATGGTTTCAACACAGTATCTTCCATGCGACGGGTATAAGGAACAGCAAGTACAGTGTCTTTCATTTGGCTTCCTGAACAGCATCCTCACAGTATCCTCATTGTCCATACGAATTTCATTGTCTTCCGTTGGCTTCCTGAACAGTATCCTCACAGTATCCTCATTTTCCATGCGACGAATCAGCAAGGTACAGCATCCTTCCGTTGGCTTCCTGAACAGTATCCTCATGTATCACTACAGTGTGTTGGCTCGTATATCCT